TTATCAAAATATTTTGCTGAAATATGTTTATTAGACGTTATGATCATGTCGATAAGATAATATATTTTTATGAGTTTTTCGAGAATATTTCATGTATTAACTCATTTTGTACAGTTGGTGAGTAATAAAGTTAACCGATCATCTTCTAAAATAGGCAAGGCTTTCTGCTGATGATATTTTTTATTCTCTGAGATAAATTATAATCTTAACACATCTTGTAAGGAAGGTATTTCATTAACTTATCATGGCTATTTTTTCAATTTATTTGCTGTTTGATTAAATCAGTAATATGTAAATAAGTGATCAATATTCTGCTCTATCTGTATGCAGAAACAACTTTTGTATAGACTATATTCTATTAAGATCATGTAAACACACTGTAATCTTGAGCTGGTGGGATACATCCTTGCTTCTGGTTTCATTCAAGATCGTTAATGCCATTGATGGGAGAGGATGTTATGTATTTCTGGGTCTAAACTCTCCATAAGTTTTTTCGTATTATTTATTAGAAATGTTTTTTAAGCGATTGAGGCACGCAGGTCTTATGGAAGACTGCACTTTGTCTAATTCCACAGACGATAGAGAATCACAAATAAAGATCTTTATCAATTAAGAAAGACCATAAACCTCACGACTTTCAAAAGAATCAACAAATCAAATGAAATGCATATGTAACTGGAAGAAAAACAATGACGTTCATTTTCCACACTACCTTAAACAAATATTTAGGAAGGAAAACGTCATCAATACATTTTACTATTGTTCACACTACACGAGGTACTGAGCCACTTAGAGTGTTACTAAATGAGATTGTTGTAAAGGCGTATGGAGAAGAATCAAGAGGTCATATTTTGAGGATATTTAATATAATTAACGGTTAACACTTTCTCCGTTCTCCAATGTAACAGTTCTAGAGAAGCAGCTGTTCATGTGGAACTTTCTCTTTACCATTCGGTTATGAAGGGAATAAGAAGTCAACTCAGTGTATGTGGACTGGGGGTCCTAACCATGAAAGTCAGAAATTTTCTCATGTGAAATAGCGATAGACTAGTGAGACGATAGAATTGTAAATGGCAAAGAGGTTATAGAATGCAACACAATTCATCACTCACACTTCTGATCGCGGTCGAGGTTAGAAAAGTAAGGTTTGGGAAAATCCAGCTCAGCTGTGACAGTAATACTGCATTTTCGGTCTATTCTGACTGTTGTAAAGATAGAGCCTACTATCAGATTGGTTGTTGATTTGTTTCCTGGCTATCTGCCATTTATTTGTGATTTAAAGCCGAGAATAAAAATGATTTTTCAACTTATATTTATTATTCTTTAAAGCAAAGCTGCGACGGTGGAGCGCGTGACAGGTTTAGTCAAACAGGGAACTGACTATTTTTCTGCGGTTGTTTTAACGAGGAATAATATATATGAGTGTCACTTGAGTACCAACAGACGTTCCAGGCACGGAGCCTTGTTGAGAGAACAGACGTTTATCATGATTGGCGAAAACTCAATTTATTTTTTGGAAGTAGCACTAAATGTTCAATGGATAGCGAATGTTTCATGTCTGACGACGGCTATTCTTACCATCACCATTACTTATTGACGTCATATTACCGAATCTGAGAGACGTCTATCTTGACCAAACCAGGAATGGAGCTCCTTGGTTCGCCCACGTTGCTAAATATATTCGATGTGCCGAAACGGCAATCGTTCTCTGTTAATGCATTTTTGCAGAGAACAGAAATTTGTTTATTTAGTAACCAAAATTAATGAGATTTTTATTCAACCGGATGTCGGTAAAGAGGCAAACCACATTAACCAGAAAAAAACAACTCTGATGTAATTTAATGCACGAAGAGTTTATTGATGATCTTCCAATGTACAACAGTCAATAATTAAAATACTCTTTGATGAAACAATAAAAAATGTAACTAATATATCGGTTCTCTTATTACAACTTGAAAAGATAAACTCTACTACGAATTCCTTCAACTTTTATCAAATATATTCTATTCAAACAACCAAACATTTTTCCTGCATCTGAATTACAAATACACAACACATCTTAGACCGTCTGGTTTTGAGACTTCAACTAAAACAAGTGCCGGTAAAAAAAAAATATTACTTTACTCACGAATAACAAAACAAGCGAATGTGTAAATTGCTGAATAGTACACATCCGTTTTATGAAGTAAAATCTACGAATGAGATTAATATATCGAATAATATATATATATATATATATATATATATATATATATATATATATATATATATATATATATATATATATATGGGACGAGACACTTGATTTTAAGTTTAATTTTTATAACTAAATTTACATCTTTAATTTCAGTTTTGAAACAGAAATTTCTGTGTTGCGATGGAATCATATTTTTTTTTTAAAAGACAATAGTTATAATATACGCAAGAGAGAGATTGTGTGTGTGGTGGATGTGTGTCCAATGTAAGTATGTAATATTTTTTCGATTGTTATTGTTAGACATGCTGAAGGCCCATAACTATAAAAAAAATAAATGAAAACTACAGGCCTAGTTCAACTTCCACAGAGGCTGTGTTTCACCCCTGTAGTTCACTGCTACTAACAAGGATGTATGTTTTTCATCCTGATGATTGCCATTATGGCCGAAATTAGTCGAGGAGCTTAATTAAAATATGGCTAAAAAGTAAAAAAAGGATTTTAATATACAAACTATTGTGTTTGAATTTTTTAATTTTAAATAGATTTTATTGTCCAAAACATATATATATATATATATATATATATATATATATATATATATGAGAATAAACAACTGATATAGAGGTAAATCGAAAAAAGTGCTTAATGCCAATGCCTTAATATATTTTAGTTAAATCCCCATTGCTCAATAACCGACATACGTTTTCACGCAATCAACAGGCGGTCACTAAGCGTTTATCGTAGAAATGAGCACTTTATAACCCTCACGTAAATCCAAGAGGTTAAAAGTGTATTTGATGCATGCATAACATGGACGCACCGACTATGATCACCGACACACCAACTAAGCATGTCTCAGGTATATAAACTGCCAATTTTCACGCATAACTATTACCTGATAAAAATATATAAAATTTTTAGACATGGTCAGTCAATGCATATATATATAGTTAAATTCCCAGATGAATTCTGTGGACAAGACAGATTGGTATCAAATGACAATTGGAAAAAATCATACATATATATGTATAAGTGCGCAGGTATGCAGAAAATAGAAAAGAACACGTTGGGTGCATAATCCGGAGTTCCTTAGCATTTTTGTTTTTATTTTTAAGACAGTGCTCCATACAGAAGTAGAGCTTTATTATAATAATATTTTTTGTTTAAAAATATGATTCCTTCGCTACATAAGAGTTCTCATGTTTCAAAAACGAGAGCCGTAACCATCCAAATAATTATTAAAATTAAGTTGAATTGAGGTGATTAGTCCCGTTTCATCTTCAAGCGAAATTTTAGGAATAAGCTATCTCTCAGTTTATTGTAGGAGTGGCTAGACTATTTTTCTTCGTTAAGTGGTCAGAGAGTTAATTCTTATCAATAGATTCATCATCTTCTGAGAGGTTTTGCTAAGGTTAATGTTTGCGGTCACCCTTTAGTTGGTTCCCAGTGAGGGATATTTTTATGGCGCGCCTACAAGTCGGGAGGATTGTGTTTTATCATTGTCCATCTGATTATCTATTTATTTATTTGTCTATTCAAGTGGGTGTTTTAAATACAAATCGTATTGCACTGAATTTCATTTTTTTTTTTTTTTGATTTTTGACAACTACAGAAAGGGGTTTTCCTATTTAATGATTTGGCTAAGCTTTTAAAACTTTTATTTAGCTATGGGAATTTTTTATGCTAATTATTTAATGCGAAAGTTTGTTGATGTCGGCAAAAAACCGTTAACTCCTGCCTATAGTTTAATATTTTTTTATTATTTAGAAATTTAATGATGTGTAGTTTTTCGTGTAGGCATAAAGAGCATGGGTCATCCCAGGTTTTACAAGTTCTTGTTTTATTTACTATTTTCCATTTTACTTTTGGTGTTTTATTCGTTTCATTTAGGTGCCAGAAATATTGGGATAGAGATGTTTGATTCCTATTTTGAATATTGTTGAAGGAGCTCTTGTGTTGCCTCCATCTAATTTTAAAATTATTCTTCGTTGAGCCTATGTATATCCTATCAGTGTTAGGACTCTGTGTGTATTTAGACAGCATCTTTTCACTCATACAAGTTTCATTAAATAATATAGACAAGTGTTGTCTATTTATTTTATGTAAATTCTTTTGCATAACGTCTAATACGTTTAATAACATTATCATTGAACGAAGAAACGATTTTTTAATATAATCTAAGCTTTCGGCTTACATAAGCCATTATCAAAGATGTCAATTACAACATATTAAACAATATACGGACACGACAGTGATGGCAGTCTGTGAATATTTACATAGATGATCTCTAATCAACGATAAACACGTGCATATAAGACGCTAGAAGCGAAAATCGCACCGCATCTCATGACGTCACACATGACCACGCGAGAGTGAATTGGAGAAGTTTGAAGTATGGAAAGCCGTTGGTATAAACCAATGGCCTCCGTCACCAACTACAGAGATTTAAGGATATTTGTAGACATTATTTACATAAAATAAATAGACAACACTTGTCTATAATATTTAATGAAACGTGTATGAATATATATATATATATATATATATATATATATATATATATATATATATATATATATATATGTATATATATATATATATATATATATATATATATATATATATATATCTATATATATATATATATATATATATATATATATATATATATATATATATATATATATATATCGAATTAGATCGCTAGAGCATGTATTCCCTCTTATACCATCGTCATTGTTTTTTGTACTACTAATTAACAGGCCAGTTATATTTTCATCGGGGTTAATAATGAAAGGGTGAAATGTATAATTTTCCTTTCAATAAACGGGCGTGTGCTAAGTGCCTTCCATGTTACAATAATTCCCACGATCGTCTCAACAACTTGTTCACTAGAGTTGTGAGTTCGTTCCTTACTTGACGATGCCTTACTGCTGTTCTTGTCCTAGATTTAGCGTAATTAAAAAAATAAATAAATTAATGAGTGTATTCCATATCATTATCATTCTTTTCACCGGTGGAATTTGATCTTGTCGATTATTCAATACTTACTCATTTTTCCACAATAAAAACTTCGGAAAAAATGCGTCTTTCGTACTAGGAAACTGTTTTTAACACAAGTTTTGCTTTACTGTAGCAACCTGTCTTGTGTAATTTAACTCGGCGAAAATCTACATGGTTGAAGTGCTAAGCAAGTTACATTTCTAATGAACAGCTATGCGTGGCAATCGCGCTAGAACAAGCGTACGACAAACTATGGCACAGTTTAAGAAAACATTTAGAAATGATCGTAAACAGCTAAGGTATATCATCAAAATTTGTCATCATAAATCTATTGAACTAATCAAATTTCAGAAAGTGTCTGGGAAATTTTCGAGTAATTGATCGAATACCTTTGAGAAAATCGAGTTGCTTTTACTTAATGATTAAAAATTGATTTCAGCTCGAATCAATCAGGTTCCTTGGTAAAAGTGCATTTCTGCATATTCATCGATGTATCGATCACATGATTTGAATTTGACGAAGCTTACTAAAAATATCGACCAATAATTTACAGTGTTTGTGTCGAGGCTCCTTCTGTCGCATCTACAGTTTCTTTCTCATATATCGGAGATATAATTATTCGAAAAATATCAAAATGATCTATTAAATTTTGACTAGCATTTCTGTCAGTTTAACTTCTAGTGTCAGACTAATTTGTATTGAATAATGTTAGAGTGGTTGAAATCGTAGCTGCAATAGAAAGAAAAGGTTTCAAATGAAAGGGAAATACGTGTTCGAGACTTGACAGGGGGCTTCTGTACATACACATACACACACCTACACACACACACCTACACCCCCACATATATATATATATATATATATATATATATATATATATATATATATTTAATTAATAAACGCACAATCTTAAGGGTCCATTGATTATATTTTATTTCCCCAGGAACGTGACTTTTCTTCCTGGTTCCTTAGATCACATTTACGGACATAAATGTTTTTTAATGCTTGGAAATATGATCTGAGGAACCAGGAAAAATAACTTTCTTGTACCCTTAAGATTGTCTGTTTTTTAATTAAATTAATATTCGCATTCGCTCTGGTTTTACATTAAACTCTCTGGATAACACTCTCCTTCTCTCTCTCTCTCTCTCTCTCTCTCTCTCTCTCTCTCTCTCTCTCTATCATATATATATATATAATGTGTGGGTATACCTTTCTGATTTGTCAAGCTTATCAACGATCATCCACTAACAATCTGGAAAGTGAGAACAAAATGAAAACATGAATGAAATAAAAAACAAAATTAATAATAATGATAGGAAAATTATGCTAAGAAACTGAAATTATATTACAAATATTTACACTAAATTTACACTCAAGCGAGGCAATTTTATTTAAAGAAGAAATATTTCATATCTTGAGAGATGTCGTCGGTTTCGAAGGTTGTTTGTCTAAAGAAATGAACCACTAGACTAAGCACCACATGACCTGATTCTTCTTCTGAATGTTTCTGTAGAAGTAGCCATACTTTTCAACAGAACTGATAACAGAGAAGGCGTGCACAATGTGACACAAAGTCTGCATCAATCCTTCCTCAGGATTGTATTCAGAGCTTTCCTTCTTCTAGGCTTGTTGATCACTTAAGGTTTGAAATCCGAGGATACTTTGCATTTTAAGCGATAACTGGTGGAAGGTAGTTTTATGACATTTTTCACTGTATTAGTATGGATGTCATCGAAGGCCGGAACTATGTCGATTGATAGAAAAAGAGCAGATTAATACTTGTGTAAATATAAGCTTTAAAAAGATATCTACTTGTGACATAAAGCGGAAGAAGAAGCGAGGGAGAGAGAAGAAAAAGAGTTGGGAATAAATAAATAAATAAATAAATAAATAAATAAATAAACAAAGAAAGTAAAGAAATATAAAAGAGTTGGGAAAGAAAAGAAAGAAAGAAAGAACAAACAAAAACAAACATAAAAGATTTCTAAGAGAAAGAAAGAAAAATAAGAGAAGGAAAGAAAGAAAGAAAGAAAGAAAGAAAGAAGGAAGGAAAGAGAGAAAGAGAACAGAAATAAAGAGAGAGAAAATAAAAAGAAAGGAAAAGAAACAGAAAAAAGGAAAAAAGAAAGAAAAAGAAAGAAAGTAAAAGAGAAAGGGGAACAAAGAAAAATAAAAGAAAGAAGAGAAAGAAAAATTCAAGAAAGGAAGAGAGAAAGAGAGAAAGAAAGAAAAACAGTGAGAAAGAAAGAAAAAAAGAGAGAGGAAAAATGAGGGAGTGTCAGAGAAGAATATAAAAGAGAAGTAACAGAAGCAAAATGAGCGTAGAATTTCATAACATTTTAGAAAATGATGAAGAAAAAAAAGAAAATATATTCAAATATAAAAGTACTTTACATTACCCATTTTGTTTTCTTCAAAACTACATAATTTAAATAATATATTTATTCTAATATATTAAACTATGGAGTCATAATGAATGCGATTTAAAAGGAGACGAGAATGTGACCCGTATTCAAATGAAGGCAAAGACGTAATTACATCATCAAATTAAGTACATGCCAATTTACTATTATAAAAAGCGATAAGTGAAGGACAGTAGTCAGCAGGTAACAAAGAAATTAAACAATGTCCGACAGAGTTAAAATATCCTTTCACTTTTGTTTAATAGTTTGTGATCAAACAAGTAATTCCTTGTTTGTCTATTGAAGAAATTTTATCTATTTTTAACATCTCTTTCTTTTGCTTTTATTTGTCCAAATGAACTTAGAACTTTCGACCATAGCTTCGGAAATCCGGTTCTATGAACAGAGTCCGATTTTATTAGGTTGGTACCGTGTGAGGACTTTATGCTCTATTACATTCGGCAATGTTCATAAATTGCATTAAAGTTAAACTTGATTCCAATCTGAGAAATCCATTTTTCTTTCGGTAGTTTTCTTTTGTTTCTTAACATCGGTCCATTTTACGGCATAGAAATTGTTATCACGCATTCATTTTTTCGTTTTTTTTTCTTTCTCTCATTCTCTCATCCTTTCTTTAATTTTTCTTTTTTCTTTCTTTCTTTCATTTTTCTTTCTTCTCCATTTCTTTCTTTCTTTTTCTTTCTTTCTTTTTCTTTCTTTCTTTTTTCTTTCTTTTTTCTTTCTATTTCATTCTTTCTTTTTCTTTCTTTCTATTTTCTCTCTCTTTCTTTCTGTTTTCTTTCTCTGTTTCACTCAGAACTCTTTTATGTTTGTTTGTTTCTTCCTTTCTTTCCCAACTCTTTTATATTTCTTTCTTTCTTTCTTTCTTTCTTTCTTTCTTTCTTTCTTCCGAACTCTTTTTCTTCTCTCTCTCTCTCTCTCTCTCTCTCTCTCGGTTCTTCTTCCGCTTTATGTCACCAGTACATATCTTTTTGAAACTTATATTTACACAAGTATTAATCTGCAAGGTATCCTCGGATTTCAAAATTTAAGTGATCAACAAGCCTAGAAGAAGGAAAGCTCTGAATACAAGCCTGAGGAGGGCTTGGTGCAGACTTTGTGTCACACTGTGCACGCCTTCTCTGTTATCAGAGTTTTACATAATTTTTTTCACAAAGCCGAAGGTGATGTGTGGAAAGGCTTTAAATCCTACACCTCCCTAATCCGACGCAAGACCCATTCATCTAACAATTTCCCCAATCTCCACAAGAAACCATCCATCTCAATCCAATCCAACATGTGTCACAATGCATTATCCTCATAGGGATCCTCATAAAATACTCAGGTTTTTAAAATCTCTTAATATGTACAAATATTTTTCCTTCCTTTTTAAAATTTATTAAACAAATTAGACATGAAATGAAGGAGTGAGGAAAATGTGAACACCGCAATAAGATTAAAAGAAACAGAATTCAAACACAAATAATAAAAAAAATGCGTTAGTATGAATCACCCAACTGAGAAAAGGATGAGCGGCCGCTGTATTCTGTCGATAAACAGAATCAAGAATTTCAGTCACTAGTGGCGGAGATGGGGAAATACATAAGACTGATCCAATCAAGATAAAAAGTGAGGATATAAACTGGGCTGATTTGTAAACTTGATAAGGAAATTATTGTCACGTAATAAAGAAAGTCTTTCTCGCGGATTTGCCTATTAATAATCCTGACAACTTAGAAATGTTACAATAAATTAGATCAATAAATGTTAATGCTTGAGTTACACGAATCGATGTTGTCTGTAATAGTTTCTTGAATATAATAGCCATCTGAGTGAGCTCTCAATTTTCTTAACGATCGTAAACTTACAAACTGGAAAATGTGATAAGAACAAAACAAAGACATGGAATAAATAAGCCAAAATTAATAATAACGAAAGGAAAATTATGCTGAGAAAATGAAATGATCACACAAAATACCTTCGTAATCACTATTAGACTCATCCAAATCTTTCCGAATCCCCTGTACTGTCATCAGATTGACACACAAACACTGTGAAATGATCGTGCGAGATCTTCCGACTCGAATGTCAAGGAATAAAGCATCCCGTTTCGAAATATCTGGTGGAACGAATTGCGTCATGATGATCTAATTCGGTCAGATGGCGCCCAATTGACCCTACTATACAGTGCAGTGCATAAAATCAAAAGCAGGGACAACGTTCAAGCAAAAGAAAAAAAAAAAAGAATAAATAATTACTCATCGCAAAATAAAGAGAAAGTACAGTAAGATTTATAATCCGGTGTTCTTAATTATTTTTATTTAAAAAAAAAAAAAAAAAAAAAAAAAAGTGCTTAATACAATTCTGCAGAGAATAAAAATTATAAATTTACTAATTTAAAAATATGGTTCCATCGCTACAAAGGAATTACCATGTTTCAAAATAGAAAGTAAAAACTTCAAATTTAATTATAGAATTAAATTAAAATCCTTAATACTGTTTCATTTTAAAGCGAATTTTGGAATCAGTTATTTTGAAATGTACTGAGTTTTATAAGCACATACATTTTTAATATTAATTTCTAAGGATACAGGGAAATTAATTTTCACTGTCAACTATTGCATCAAAATATGAGTTACTTTTGAAATGAGGTTAAGTTAGGGTAGGGATGAGGTGCCTGTTCAACAAATGATGACATTGATTTTTCGCATGTCGTCTGGTTTTTTAATGACAAAAAATTTACGGCACTTTTGTTTTGCCTTTAAATTTGTGATTTTATACATAAAGATTTTCTTCAAAAGGTATTTTTAGTCTAAGTGTTTACTCAAGATATTAGCATGCTGTTTCTTAATAATCATTTCTAAGTTTTCAGTACAACTGTAACTTAATGTTAGGGTATTTTTATTAAAAACTGTACTTAGTTTACAGTCTTTAGGAAAATGTTTAGCGATTAATGCAATACATTTTTATCCTAATTGGTTTTTTATCATTTGGTTGTATGTGAGTGTATACCAAATGATTTTTCTACTTCTGTTTTTCATATGGTTTACACTTTCATTTTTATCTAACTTAGTTTTGTGCTTTTGTAGTCATTATACTTTAGAGTTTTATTATGGTTATTACTATGCTCATAGAAAGATTTCTCATTTGCTGAATTTGTACTTTTCTCTTTTCGATAGATAGATGTATATGCTTAATTATACATGGAGGATGATTAGATTTAGGGTGTATATACAAAGGATTAGTAATGGGTTTTTATAAGGTATGTATACATTATTCATTAAATCTAATGGTATATCAAGGAAGTTCCCTTTTTTTTAATTTAGTACTTACATTAATTTTTAAGTTCAGGCATTAAATTCTCTGCATAATAGTTTTCTATTTTTTATCAATTTTAAAGTTTGTAGAATTATTTATAACCATAAGTCCATCGTCTCTGTACAATCCAATGCCTGTTATATTAACTTGGCGGTATGCTGTAAGATTGTATAATATAAAAAAAGACCTATAATGTCATGTCAGAAGACCCTGAAGAGTCTAGTGATGCCACTGTGATGTCAAAGTGGTCATTTGGATTTTTTACCCATTGCTCACCCTTATGTATTAGTAGCGATTTTTTCGCATTCATAATAATGCTCTTTTCTTAAGAAACATAATGCTAATATCTTGAGAAAACACTTAGACCAAAATTTAAGAAATTTAGACGGTATAATAAAAAGAGATGAAGATAAACAGAAATTATGTAACTGCAGAAATCCTCAAAACTGACCTCTTAATAATAAATGTCGCAATGAATAATTAGTGTACAAGTGCTATATCTCATCTATTGAGGATCCAGAGAATGTCAAAGTCTACATTGTATGCACAAGACATGAATTTAAAAAGCGTTTTAACCAACATCATTGTTTTGTTTAGAATAAATAAATATCGAAAACATTTGTTGAACAGATCTTCAGACGACTTTAATGGAAATGAAAAAAATTATTGGTCGGCTGTATATAACTTGGCAATTGTCCTAAAGCATCACGTGAAAAAAACGAATAATCAGTTTTAATTAAAAATAATTTCATTAAAAGAATATATATATATATATATATATATATATATATATATATATATATATATATATGTTACTAAACCATTTCAGTAATCGTAGTAGGTGATGATTACTCAGCCTCAAGCTGAAATGGAAATTTATTGTGAAACTTTGAAAAGTAGTTAGTTTCAGCAAGTACATGGTATTTTTCAATTCTAGAATTTACTAAAGGTAGCATTGGATATTAGTATTACTTTTTCGTCTATGATCCAAGTCCTATGGTGACGCGTGTAATCATAAACTCTTCAGAGCCAATAAAAGCATTTCGCCGTTTGCCAAGTCTCCTGGTCACCATTCTTCCATTCATTTACATAATCTCTTCAGGTAAGTTGCCCACTGTTTTCCTTTATCTCTCTTGCCCTTGATATGCACTGTGAAGTGTAACTTCTTCAAGTCCTCCTTACTCATGTGCCCAAGAAATGTCAGAAAGACAGTTTTGTAGCCGTTGAAAAGTGTGATCCCGAAAAAAAAAAACGCATTTATCGCCTATCGTTTCTGCTGGTGAAGATGGCTGACTGATGGCATGCTGGTCCTGCAGCTGATGATGGCGACGATCCTCACGGAATATGGTTATTTATTGAGTCGACATGTGACACAACATCGGGTTTAACGTGGGGAACTCGAGCGGCTACACTTAGGCCAAGGATAAAAATTATACAGCCCCACGCATGCGTCGGTTGTGCCGACCTCGGTATGGTGCGCGAATTTTGCTAAAACCCTGTACACATCATGAAATATCATTATGACATAACACCTGGTCAACTTGTTTTAGAGATTATTACGAATGATGCAGATTATCCCCAAGACATCTCAATTAGTTAGAGATTCTCATGCTAAAAGTTAAGCTTAGAAAATGCCTATATTACCCCTAAAACCATCAGTAACATTTAGCAAAGAAAAACATGTAATTTACATTAAATCCAATCTTTTCATATAAACAGTAACATTGCAAGATCTGACGCTAGTTTAGAAAATACATTTTTTACTCACTTATTTTACCGCTAATCTTTCCTTATCTCTTGAGTCAGCGTTATCATTAAATTTTTGGGAGATACATTTATGATGAAACATCAAATTATGATCATTTGAATAAGTTTCAATCATTTTTTTATGTCGAATATTGAAAACCAGCAGGAAATAGATCTTTGTCATGAATCAATACACACTCTACTTGCAGAAGAAGGCTTTGCTATGCAGGATTTAATTGTATTGTTATAGAATGCATCGCAAATCCGTCCAGTATAGAAATGTATTGAAAATTAGAATGAAAATGTTTTTACACCGATTAGTATGTAACATATATGATTTCTGCGAGAAAATGTCTTTTACATGCATAATATAAGCACATCGATAATGATTTAACGGGAGGAAGGTATGGACAATGATTTCATTAATAAAAGACATTATAAATGATTTTCGATAAATATTCTCTAGAAACCAGGAAGAAAGGGATTCTTGAAATGTAAATAGCAGAATAAGAGATCTATATTTAAACAATATTTAGTTATTGTTTTCAAGCGTTAATCTAAGAGCTTTTACTTTTTTTAGATATTTGTCTAATACGTTTATCTATCTATCTATCTATCTATCTATCTATCTATCTATCTATCTATCTATCTATCTATCTGTCTCGTATGTGTGCTTCTGCGTGGCACTTATCCATAGTACCGCATGCGTCTTTCCTCTCTACCGTTCTCAGGACGAAGGGTCGGTAATCTTCGACCGAATATCTGAGAAGAGTGATGATATACTCACTCAATTCCCCTTGGACAGCTTTCAGATCTGCAGTCAATTGAATTTCCCCCATAAAAAGTGGTTAGTCCACTCCATCAAAACTGATGGTTAAAGAGGATATGACAGAGAATTCTTCGCATATGAACTAACCCATACCATAAGAGAACCTACCTAGGTGCCGGACACGACGGGACATCAGGCGAACCACCTCGACTTCTTCTTAACCTCCTGATGTGATTAATTACTATAAAAAGTTTTACCTCCACTAGGCACGCCAGACCATTCCTTAATCAGTGTCGAGATTGGTGCCAAAATCAAGGCATCCCTTGATGTACCCTGCCATAACTCAGCAAGAGCATTACTTCAACATTTATGGCAAAGAGCGATGAAGTTTGGCCTTCACTGGATTCACAATTGTCCGCAACGACTGCATAAGCAGTCCAGACCAAAATCTAAAGAAAACAAATTGGGTCCCGTGAATTCTGGAAGATCACCAAGTAAAGAGGCTGTAACCACAATTACAAATGGCCCTGAGATCATATCCTCCTCGACACTTATAAGGCGAAACTCTTCGCTTACACTTTTGCTTCTAACTAAACATTAGATGACAAAGACCATCCTCTCTCAAAGTTCCCATGTCTTAGCATAACATTAGGAGAAGTCTCCAGACTTATCAAAAGTCTTGACCCTAAGAAAGCCACTGGTCCACAAAAACTTCAACTGGCTGTCCTTAAGAAAATCAAATAAACAAAAACAAAAAACAATCCTAGCAAAGCTATTCAACCCGAACCTGTGGAAAGTTTCAAGCGTATGCCCAGTTTTTAAGAAGGCGGGCGTGCGGTCTTTCCCCATCAGTCTCCTCGGTATCCTTAGCAAGCTCTTTGAGGTTATAATCAATAAGATGGTCATCGCGCAAATGTAAAACATCTTCAGCGATGAACAGTATGGCTTTCGATCGGCCTGATCGACTTTCGATGACCTACCATCACTCATAGAAACAGCGGGGCTCTAGATTACAAACACAACACGAGGACCACAGCAATAGATATCTGAAAGGCCTTCGGAAGATGTGGCACAGTCTTACTACACAAGCTATCCAGTTATGGAATCACTGGAAGGGTCTTGATCATAAAATCCTTCTTAACAGGTTGGACTCAGAAGATAGTTATCAATGACCAGTCATCTGGAAACCTAGATCTCAACCTAGGCGTCATCCAGGGGTCGCTCTTCGGACCAACCATCTTTTTGGTCTTCATAAATGACCTGCTTGAAAATATAATCAGATCATCTGCAAATATCTATGCCGATGATACGAATATATATGGGCACAACTCTAAAATCCTCCATTGTCAGAGATTGGTGACTGTTGTGTTTTTCGACCTTGCACAAAATACCCAATGGGGTAAAATATGACTGGTTACATTCAATGCCTCGAAGACCGATCTGATTCCGAACTGACACCAATAAGGATGAACGGATTTCCTCTCGGGGAATCATCGTGCCTATCTATCTCAGTCTGTACATATATATATATATATATATATATATATATATATATATATATATATATATATGGCGTATACATACATATGTGTATGCATATATCATTTTGCTTATTATGTATCTATCTATCTCAGCCTGTTCATTATTTATTTATATATCTAGCTATATATCTGGCTATCCCTGTTCATATCTTTTGTTCATATCTATCTATCTATCTATCTATCTATCTATCTATCTATCTTTATATATATATATATATATATATATATATATATATATATATATATATATATATATATATACATATATCATCTATCTATCTATCTATCTATGTATCTCTCTCTCTCTCTCTCTCTCTATATATATATATATATATATATATATATATATATATATATATATATCAATGCTCCTCTCACAAATATACTCAAGGACAGACACACACACACACACGTTTGTGGCTGTGTGTTCAATGATCACCATTTTCTTCGGGTCAGATGCACAGTGATTGGAACAAAGTGGCCTCCGCTATGCAAACATATTTATAGCTGCCCTGGAAATAAACATGTTACGTAGTTACCGCCTAGAACCCATCCACAATAACAGTTACGTTGACGATATCTTCTTTACATGGGCATATGTTGAGAACACTCTCCATGATTTCAGACAATATATAAAACAAAATATCAAAGCACCAGGAAAAAAACAATGAAATATTCACTTACTACTATTTCGTTTCTGGATACGTCATAACAATCATATCTCCACAAATATACGCACAAAGAGTCATTGGTACCCAAATTTTAACAGTTGCCACCCTACCAATCTAAAACTGTCAATAATTTGAATACACTGTTTACGAATGAAACGCAACAGTTCTGCTATTGGAAATTTCAAAAAATACATAGCACAACTATTTAATTACTTTCTCTAAAGAAATTATCCACTTAAAATTGTTAATCAGTAAGACACAAGAGATATACTTTTTTAGTCTAAGAGACAAATACGAAAAATTCCAGATTTCCTATGGATTTTGAAGTTAATTACTACAGTCACAAACTATCACATATTTTACTAAATTACTTCCAGTATATAAAACTTGAACCTGCAATTAATCCGATATTTAGTGAAACCCCACTAGGCGAGAACATCCAAATCTACAATCACTTCTTACATAATCTAGACTACAAAAATCAATCGCTTACCAAGGTATTGTATAGCACCTTTATTTGTGGGAGGGGAAGAGATGACAGACATCAACACAAGAAATTTTAACTTATTAATGTCGGCATTTCTAAATATCCAGTGAGGGAGCACTCTCTCCACTGTGGGACGTTTCAGAGAACACGTTTACATTGTTTGACGCTTTAGACTCGATTCCTTGAATTACCTTTTTCTATCTATCGTTCTCACGCTGGCTCAGAAAATTAAAATCGACTTCCTTATTTTGTCTTCCATCTGACCTCAAATATCAACCCTAGGAACTCGGAGCAGAGATACACAGCCTCTGAAAATAATAGTCTACTAAACTATTATTTAACAAAGGCAAAGAGATCTCAATGCCAATGTGGTAAACATATAGTATTTCTATGTCACATGTCACGCACACTGTAATCAAGACCCTCTCCCTTGAGTCTTGACAGTTCAAATTTCATATATTTATTTTTGTGTAAAATAAAGGCAAAATAGAAAATTATATCAATGAAACTGATACGGAATTCCGTCTTCGATTTAATAACCATACTCCCCCCCAAAAAAAAACAAAAAACGAAAAAAAAAAAAACCCCAAAAAAACACAATAACGTCAATATCTAGCTGCACATTTGAAACAACCCGGTTCGTTTAGCGTCTTCATTTAAAGGCTAACAAGAACAACAAAATACGAGTTAAAAGATGTTTTTTAATATAAATTCAAACATTCTAGGTTAGGCATTCACAATGAATACATTTTTCACGAAAAGCTAGTTGAAAACCCTCTAATCACTAATTGGGGCAAACAAATATTTCAAATATACTAGATTTCATCAGTAATACAAGACTTGCGAAAAATACCCCCCCACCCCGCCGATAAAAGTCAGAGTTCATTTTAATTCTTGTTGAGAAAGGGTACAGGTTGTTCTAAAATTTCAGTGTGTAACATATTTTCTCACTATACATCTATTTGGTCAAAATACCTCATGATATGCAATAAATATTATTATTATTATTATTATTATTATTATTATTATTATTATTATTGTTGTTGTTGTTGTTGTTTTTTCTCTCTCGATTTTCCTTCATTGGCCAACTATATCGAAGGCATGGCAATTCATATATAGTGAAGAAAATACATTGTTGGATATTCCTGATCAACCAGATGGGACAAGACACCGGAATAAAATATGTGACATCGTCTGCAACTGAAGGTTACTCAACGTGCAGGAACAATGGACAATAAGTGCAACAAGACTACCAAACGAATTTGATGATGAACACAAGGGATTTTCAGACTTAATGACCTCTTATTATTCCGGATAAAAGTCACAAGAATAAAGAACCTGTGTGAATTGAACTGACAGGACATCTCTCTGGTTCCGAACGGCCCTTACGAAGTTTAATAAGACCTGATATTGGAATAGATATTCCTACAATGCTTATATCCTCAGATACTATTACTTTGCTAACCACTACACGAAGGGGAGCATTTCCAGATTTAAAACTGATATGCATAGCGAAGTCTGATATAAAACTACGAGTGCCCAGTTCTCAATGAAGATCAAATCGTTCGCCTATATTTCTCGGCGAAAGCCAATCTGTTTTTGCTCACTAACCAGTTCAGTTTAGTCAATAAAAATGTTCCACAGAGACGGCAGTTATAAATAAATATGTAAGCAAAGTCTGTTTGTAGGATTTACGATAGTATCCGAGGCAAAAGTTTGGCTTCTTCAGTTTAGAATGAAATAAACACAAAACTCTATGGGAGAGAAAATGCCTTGGTATCTGGGACGATAAGTGGTGACCATAAATCAAATTACATTAGATTACTCCAGTGAGATATAAATAAAACAAAAATCAGATGATGGGCGTTCTTTTGAATCTAGATATTGGAGTTGGTAAAGTAATCTAATTTAATTTGATTTAAGGTCACCACTTATCTTCACACACACATTTCCTTTGATACAAATTTGTTTTTCTTTCATTCTAACCTGAGGAAGACAGAAAGCCGAAGCACTCGGCGAAAAGAATTGTTAATAAAATTTTCACTTTGTTTCATGAACTATCTATCTATTAATAACCATGATTGTCGATGGTACAGCTAAAATAATTTACAGGTACTGACTAACAAAACCTACAGTTCCAAACTTACTGAGTAAGCGCTTTCAATATTAGTAAGTGGCAATAATTTGCAAGAATACCGTACTCGCCTCTTGCTGTGAGGCAAGATGATTCGTGATCAGGTTCCGACCAAAATAGCATTTCTTTTCTAATCCTTCTAGATCTCCACAGGGAATGGCATTACGCAGTATTCTTCATTCATTAAACAGTAACAAGAATAATTCTCTGAACCGAAGCAAAAAAAAAAAATAAACTCATGTAAACATAATGGTTTAATTAATACTGTGATGCATCGGTGGGAAAGCATTAGCAGAAACCCATACAAAGAATCAAGGTGTGAAATAACCATCTGCAGGAAAGGCTATTCGATGGCAATAAAATGGAATTAAAAAAAAATGTTCCCGCCATTATCGCCGAGTTTTATTGACGAACCAAAGGGACTTTTTCTCAGTAATGGAAGTAATGGACTTAGTTTGATCATATCAGCTTCAAAAGGTTTCTGGCTCCATTTGCGTTTTATGTGAAAATCGGGTGAGGACGTACGCATGAAATCAAACTGTAAAGTCAAATAATAATAGGTAACCTCTAACTTCAACTAATATATTATACACATATACCGACACACACACACACACACACATATATATATATATATATATATATATATATATATATATATATAGGGAGAAATTTTTATATTATTATACGTGAACTATTGTTCGCATCTTTGTTTATATTATCATAAAAGATGGGGACACTAGTCCACACATAAATAATGTAAATAATGATAAAACTTCATACAGACAGATAGAGGGCTTTCTAAGCGTAGCTTAGGTCTGGCACAAGGCCGAATCCAGTATGGATTGAACTCGTTATTCAGCATTAATTGATCTGGCTTGTTTACCTTTACACCACGTCGAGGTACTGTAGCGTAGATGTGGCACAAGACCGAAAGAATGGAGCATTCAATGAGGATGAAACTCATTACCCGCTTGTAATTGGTCTAGCGATACAAGATTGCTAGCCATTACACAACGTGAAAGTGCCCAGATAGATAGATAGATAGATAGATAGATAGATAGATAGATATGAAAGAACAAATAGACAGCCAGATAGATAGATAGATAGATAGATAGATAGATAAAAACTGACATAGATAGATAGATATGGTAAAACATATATATATATATATATATATATATATATATATATATATATATATATATAGATAGATAGATAGATAGATAGATAGATAGATAGAAACTGGCAAAAATAGATAGACAGATATGAAAAAACAGAAAAATAGATAGATAGATAAATAGAAACTGACATAAATAGATAGATATGGAAAAACAGATAGACATACAGATAGATAGATAGAGAGAGAGATAGATAAAAATATTATCTTATTAGCATGAAATTGCCCTCTATCCTTCCCAATTAGGTTTATTTATCTATTTAACTCTGTTTCTGTAATGCAATGTAAATTCTACACGTGTGAATTGTCAGTGGACCCATCTTTTTTTTTAACTTTATTGAGCTGACAGTAAATAAGAGAATTTTTATTGGCTGTTTTGAATGTGTAATATTCATTTGGAAATGAATAGTAGAGGGAGACATGAATGATGTATAAAAAATCTTGAATGTTTCTACTTTAAAATTCAAAACAGTAAATGTATTGTTCGGTGCGTCAACATCATATCCATTTATAAAACCTGTTTATGGTAAAGACTGTGATGCACATCCAGATACACACGTCGAAATGGAGACAAACGTCAAACAGAAGGGAAAAAAAGAACATTTGAAATTTGTGTAGGTTGAAAGTTAATATAAATTTAGAATATAATATAAAACTATTTTGCATGGAAGTTTCTGCTTCCAAACATTTTGAATTCATTTCTGAGTTCTCGTTTAGTTTAAACACTTTTGCATAAAACCGAGTTACAATTCGTTAAATCTGTCATCTCTACTCGAAATCCTTGCTGTTAATCTCGCAAATGCTTTCGATCATATCTACCTTGAACTATATCCGCACTTTATTCATTCCCTCATGCCCGCTTATAGTGTAATGCTTATCATCGTGAAAAAAAGAACTAGCGTGTCCAAAATTCTGGTCTAGTCGATTGCAATCACTTTGGCAGTAAGGTGTTTTTCGGGAATGAGACAATCCATTTCTTATTCTCACAGGTGTGTGTCTGTTGTAGCATACCTACATACGATAATAGGTGTGTCCCCAAATCCAGTAGTAAATACTCTATGTTGATTTGCAGTTCCTCTCCAGCTGTACTGGTCAAACTCTCTGCCCCTGAGCAGAAAGGATCTCCAGACTAGGCTATGTCGAAGGGTAGAATCTCGTTTTGGGAAACAACGACCCAACCTTGAATATTCGGCTGAGTCTACGGGCTCGGATACCACATATTAAAGTCGCCCTTGTGCCAGATCTGATCGCGTGTGGCGGTTGGTAGATATCCTGCAGTTGGGGATTCATTGTGGAATTCACTTGACTCACTTCTAGCAGTTGACTACTTCTTCTACGCGTCGCGGGCGAATCTTATGTGTGTTGTTCTTGTCCTAATTATTATCGTTCATTACCAAGCTTCGTGTGATTATTCTATTCAGTAACATTCTCGAGGTTACAATATTTTGGCGACGAGGATGAGATAAAATTATAACAGTGTCAAATACCAGGGCAGACTAGACTCTTTATCTTTGGTTGGTAGCTAGTCTAGGGAAATATATTTCAGAAAAAGAAGTTATGGAGAGCTATGATTATCTACATCTTAAAATTAATTGAAGTTAGAAATAAACTTATCATCAAAATAAACGGTCAACTACTGGTGATAAGAACGTGTGAAAAATTGATTCTCTGATTGTAATCAGTTCTACATAATGCATTATTGTTTATACAGGGTTTTAAGAGGGTCCATATTTACCGGCCAGAGTAGTCCAAGGAGTACCTGGAATTCCATCTTTTATTCTGGAACCAGCTTAGGGACACTGTGGGTTGCAGTCTCTTCGTGGAATAAGACATCGCTGTTGGGAAACGTGACTGTTATAAGATATACCACACATATCTATGTGAAATCTTACAGGATAGAACCTACACTATATAAAGGCAACGTCATCTTGAACTAAAAAGTGATGACTGGCTGGTTTTAAAGTCCCGTTCATTCTCATCCATAAACGAATTCCTAGGGGTCGTTTTAGCAACTGGCCAATGGCGACATTCGATAACCCGGATTCTACGAATCTAGCAATGCCATGGTACCAGAAGTGTTACCGTTCTTAGGTACCGACTGCGAAGCTACATTGAATTGGAAACATTGCTTTGTTAACTTGAGAGAAAGCAACGCTGGACTGGGAAGAAAACTGATAAAAAATTTACACTTCTGCTAGTGATTGCTAAACCGCTTATTTGACAACGGCTCCACATTTGCAATTTGTGTGGTTACTTGGATATATCCTAGTAAATATTGCTACTGATTTCTGAGAAATAAGGAGTTGCCATCTGAGAAAGTCTGCCATAACACGGTGAAACGGTGTGTCAATCCCTTTCCGCGTACCGTGGATTCCACAACAAACTGTCATAGCTACCGTACCCATTTACCTATTACGTCATATCTGGAGTATCTGTATATTCATGTCTGATAGTAGGTTGTAGCGAAAAGAAATATAATTTTGTATTCTATATATATTTTTTTATTTTAACACATCAAATTGAGGGTATGTTTCTGGATGAACAGTTATTATTTAGAGATACCTTTGTCGAATTATATAACTAGTAACAATGTTAACATTCTAAAGGTTTTCTCTGAATAATTTAATAAAATAAGAATGAAAGTAACTACATTTGCTCTTATGTTATGGATAATATTTTATTTATTTGTTAAAACATTGTTACTCTTTCAAATAATAGATGTAGTATAATTTCAATATGCATCTCTCATATTGTCTTTAATCCACGCACGCATGTATAGTACAATGTCAGATGAAAGAAGGAAGACAGTATTGTGTTAATATATCACATCATGAATCATTGTCTCTTTTGTGGATTACTTTGGGAAATACTGACGTTTTCTCTGAGCTGCAACTCTAAGCAATGCGAAATTATAACATGGACAAACCAATTGAAGTCTACTTAAAGACATTAATCAACCTTGTAATCAGCGTTTGTTTATATATATATGTATATGTCCTTCCTTTCCTTTCTCGTTTATTATCGTCTTCTGCGTGCATTTCTAAGATAATCCTATATTATTAATAATTCTTTATATCTTTCAAAGATACCCTTTGAAGATGATACATTCTTTATTCAGATATTTTAAGGATTTTATCATCGTTAACAATATCATCATTATTGTTTAAAACGTTTATTATAACTCATTCTGATATTTCACAACTACGGGTTACTTTTAAGGGGATATATTATCCATGAAAAAGAAACATTTTCTCCTCAGAAGTATGTCCAAATTCATTTACACCATCTTTATTATAAATGTTGCTGAATCATCCTTTACATTTAATTTTTCATGAACAGCTCATCCCGATTTGCTCAAATATTTTTGTAAAGGCCGCATTCAAAAAATAATTGATCATTGTTGCTAATAGGGTAACGGCAGGTCATTTTAAATTTGCAGCTCCCTCTTCGATATCTGCGGCAAGTTCAACATAATTCAATTTTTCTTCCTATGTTCCCAATATCGTTCTCCATTTAGTGTTACATCTATTTTAGTTTTCTCAAGATAATCGGTAACATCGTCATTTTCCCATTTAACACGTTCTTATTTGGCATTTATTCAATGTTCGTCATTAACTTTATCCTCCATCAACAACTATATCCACTTATATTCCTTATAAGCAAATTCTTTATATTCACCTCTAGACTAGTTTGACATAATCTGAAGTAACGCCTCTACTGACAGGGCCGGGCTTCAGCAACAAACACAAAGAAAACAAACACAATTATTAAATACATTATTTTGTACTGACAATTTAATACTCAAGAATTCTTCTAATCTCGCTCGTTTTGTTAAGCAGAATGGTATTCCTTGTTATTTAATAAGTTCAAACATCAAAATATTTAAGTAACTGTGTAAGAAGATCGATGATTAAACTTTGCGCAAAAAATAATAAGCCGATTACTGCACAAACTCCTAAGTTGTTTATAAATATCCTCTCTGTAACGTGAATCGGATGCTATTCAAAATCACTA